TCTTTAAATGTCTTCCTCCACCCTCGTAGTCCCTCCCACGTGGGTTCCCGCCAGCTTTAACAGGAGACCCCGTGAAGGATAGGGGTTCTAAGTCTGGGCCTGGAACTATCCAGAACCATCCACACCCCGCCTCCTCTGGCCCAGACAATCAAACAGCCCCAGTGTCAAGCAGGCCCTCACTTCCCAAAGTAGAAGCTCAAAGAGCAGCGCCCACCCCAGCCGCCTGCGGCCTGAGAGGTCTGGGCTGACAATGGGGCCAGGCCTCCAATTCCGGCCCCCAAGGCGGGGCCACCGGAAGACAACTGCGTTAGCCCAGGTCTGGGGCAGCCTGGCAGAAGCCTGGTCTTCTTCGTTCCCTGCAAACACTCAGCCCTTAGCTTGCGGGAGGAGGGGGTATCTATTTAAAGACCCTGGAGAGAAGGGGAGGGCAGAAAGAAGGGCCACCACCGGGGCTCGGGGGAGCCAGGGATGGCCAGGGCCCGCTGCAGCTGGCAGGGAGAGCAGCTGGGCACAGCCCTCGGACTTTGGCCCCTGGTGTTTCCCGGTGTCAGCTTTTCTATTTCAGGCCGCTGGCTTTTCCATTCGGGGATTCACAGCCAGACTGGGAACCCAGAAAGACGGGCGCTGGGGCCCTGGGTGCCCTTCCTCACCCTGTGGGCTTCCAGGCCCAGGTGAAGGCCTTACTCCAGTGTTCCCACCTCGTGACCCAGTCGGGGCCCCTGGATCTCCTCCCACAGGAACGTTCACAGTCCTGAAGCCCCGGAGACGGTGCAAACATGCCGCCTGGGCTCTCTGCAGTCGGCGGAATGGACTGGAAAGTGCTCGTTGGGGCGACGAGCCACAGCCATCAGCGGAGACGGAGCCCCAGCGGGAAAGCTGCAGGGTTACGGGCACTGTGTGGAGGCAGAAGTCGCCCAGGGAAGGGGCTCTGTGGGTGTGTGGATCTGGTGCAGGGTGTGCAGGGATGGACTCTGGGGCCAGAAGAGCAGGGTCAAGCCCCAGCTCCATCATTTCCTTGCAGGGTGGCCTGGGGCAAGGCAGGAGGCTCCTGGAACCTTCATTTTCCTCCTCCCTAAACATCAGAATAGCTTCCGAGCACGCTTGGGAGGGTGCAAGACCGTACTGAAGTCCTCCGTGGAGGCAACGGCGAGGGCACACAGTAGGCGCTCAGAACAGCTGCGGGGACGGGGCTGGGGAGCGGCTGAATAAGTTGGACAAACGGACACAGTTGGACGTGACAGGCCACACAGGCGGAATGCTGGCAGCCGCACCGACATTCCGGAGAAGGACCCAGTAAACCACTGGTGCCTAATACCACCCCCACCCCCTCGCCGACGCACAGCTCGGATAACAGCCCGCCTTTCAGGTCCCTGATTTCCGCGGGGGCACGGGCTGTCCCGGAGCTGACTCCTCCCCGCTCTGGTGCTGGTCGGGACCCCCCTCTAACCCGGGGGGCTTGGCCCCGGCCGAGGTGGGGAGGGGATCTGCAGACCGGAACAGGTGGGGCCCAGCCTGGGACGTCTGAGCCGCATTCCAGGGATTCCTGCTCCGCGACCCGCCCAGCCTGGCCCAGGGGCCAAACTGGTCCTCCACACCCACCACCACCTGGAGGGGGCTCCCGGGAGCCCTCCAGGCCCCAAGCGGCGTGGAAGCTGAGGGCAGACGGACGGGGCTGTGGGGACTTGGAAGCAACGGTCGATTAGACTGAAATCCAACAGGAAGTGAAAGCGAACACGCCGGGACTCGTTCCTTTGGACGGTATTTCCCGCGTCCCTGCTGTGTGCCCCTCCCAGCAGGCCCTGCTGCCCTGGCGCGTTGTCCCCGCTCCCCTGAGCCCAGGGTGAGGGTGGGAGACGCTGACGAGGGCCCAGGGCAGCAGTGCCGGTAGAGACAGGAAGGGGCAGACTACTGCGGCAGCCCTGGGCTGAGCCTGGTGTCCTTGAGGACGGGGACGGTGCCAGTGACTGTACCCGGGACTGGGGGCTTCATTTCTAAAATGGGAGGACCAGGCCAACTGAGCTCTCTGTCTTCCTTGGGAGAGACACCAGGAGGGGAGCTGATGCAGGGTCATGAGGCTGAGGTGCTTAGTAGCCAGTGGGAGGGACGAGGGAGTAAGCCCAAGGGATGGGACTCGGTGGAGGCGTACTGGGGCAAAGGCTGGGGGACGGAATTTGACATTAGGACCCAGTCTGACCTGCTCCCTCTGGACCTGGGAAAGAGACTGGGGAGGGAAAGGATGACAGCACAGCCAGGACGAGAAACGGTTTTCTGGATACTGGGGTTGGAAGTGGTCATTCTGACTCAGGGTAGCTGAAGACCCACTGGGCCCCCGGGGATGCTGGGCAGAACATGTGTCCTGATGGACCGTGGGCAGGGGCAGGGGAAGGGAGAGCAGAGCCCAAGGAAGGGAAACGGGGACCCGAGTCTCCCAAACCAGCTGCCCTGGGGTAGTTATCCCGCAAGAGGAATGAACGCGACCCCCACTGACCTGGGCTGGTGGGAGCCTTGGGGTCTCTGGGTAGTGTCAGCAGCATGTTGGAATGGTGACCCAGCAGCAGAAGTGGGCCGTCTACTGTGGAAGCTGGTGAAAGGCTCCTGGAAGCCCTGGGTCCTGGGCATCCCCTTGTCCCTCAACTTCCAGAACCCTCCCTCATCAATTGCCATCAGAATCCAAAGCTCTGGGCTTGGCATTAAAGGACTAGTGCTTCCCTGCCCCCCATACCAGGGAGCACACAGCGTTCCTGCTGCCTCCCCGCGGAGCCCTCCTGGGTTTGGCAGACTCAGTTCCCTCGCTGGGAAAAGGAGTAAAGGCACCCCCTTCACAGCCTCGTGGTGAAGGTGCGACAGATAACACGTGAACACATGTAACACGCGTAGCAGAGAATGGAGCCCCCAGTGCGCCCCCTTCTCCTCCTCTCAGTGCCACCTGCCGTGAGCGCCCTGGCGTGCCTGGTGGAGGGACCTGGGCGAGTGGGGAAGGTGCCCAGACAGGTCTGAACTCTGCTTGATGAGACGGCCTTGAGAAACATTGTCTTTATAAAAACTGCTCATGGAAACAGGTTCATTTACTAATTAGCTCCCGTTGGCCAAAGCACAGTTGATGTTCTGGAAAAAACAATCTCCAAAACGTTCTCCCCCTCTCTGTAGTTTTCATCCCCTCTTCCATTTCTACCTGCGATTTTTGAGCCGACCACATCTCAGAAGGGATATAAAAGGATTTAAGACTTCACCAATAAAGCAAATCACCTGCTTTTGCTAAATTGCTTTATCTGCTGTGTTCTCGGGTTGTGGTGTTTTAGGTATGGCTGCCAGGATGGGCTGCAACAGCACTTAATGGGGCTTCCTCATTTTCACAGAAGGCTCTGTCTCCTGGGGAGAGAGGAGCGAGACCAGTTTACTCGGGAACCGGCTCTGAGTTCTGAGTTCTGGGTACCAAACCTTATCCAGCTTTGCCTGGAGGGTTGGAGGTATTTTTGATTTGGGGCTGGGATCTGGGGTGCACAGACTGGGGGTGTGGCTAGGCTAGAGGGGGGTCTGGTAAACTCCGCCAGCAGACGCTGGATTTGGACTTGAGAGCAATGGGGAGCTGGTTGAGTCTTTGAGATCGGGGCGGGGGAGGTGACAGATCCCAGCACTGGGGGTTTTATTCTGACTGAGCTTCTGGAAGGTTTGGAAAAGGCCCCTTGGGAGACAAAACCTGGGGCCAGGATGGAGAGAAATGGATGGCTGAGCCAGCCAGAGTTGATGGAGGGGTGACACGATGGGCTCCGATGCTGGCCTAGGTGGCCAGGAGGAGGGAAGTGTCCTTCACCCCAAGCTGGTTTCATTAACCTCCGTAACAAAGGCGGCCCGGGGTGGGGGGGCGAGGCTCCGAGGCACGGAGATCCACACAGAGCTGGGCCAGGGCCAGAGACCGGCCCCGGCATCCTCCTTGGGCTCCTCTCAGCTCCCGTGTCCGAGTCCAGGACAACCACGCGCCCTGCTCCCCGGGCACTTCCCGGTCGAGGGCGTCCTTCCGTGCGCGGGGCTCCTGGGGCGCCTTCGGGGTCCCGTCTTCCCCTGGAAATGATTCCGCAGGTCGGGTCGCGGCCGCGGAGTGGGTGGAACAAGAGCACAGCCGGACCGGGTGTGCGCGGCGGCCGAGAACGCGCAGGACCCCAGCTTCCCGGTTCGGCCGAGCCCTCCCCTCTGGGCCTCCCCTTCCTCATCTGGACTGGCGGGGACACACGTCGGCGACCCGCCTGGCCAACCGCAGAGCGCCGCACTCGGTGACCGCAGAGCGGCCGGTCCCAGACCTGGCTCTCTGCGGGGGGGGGGGGGGGGG